CGCGCTATGTTGGAATTTTGATATCTTACTCCCAAGAGGTCGTCTTGACCAGGTTAGATGGAAAGTTTGGAGTAAACCGGAACACCAAGCGAAAATTCGCGTGGTCAGGCAGGCGACCCCATACCTTTTCATGTCCAATCAAGGAATCGAACCCTAGTAGCCTTGGTGTGTTATCCACTACAATTCAATTCAATTCAAGTTTATTCCGGGGGCCTTACGACCCATGGACATACATAAATATAATACATAATATTACATACATATTTGGAGGGTGATCTCTCATGACATGCATACAGAACACAGAAAGTAACATATACATGTCTGTATACGATACACAAACAATATACTAACAGAGACGGGAGGTAACTCCTCGGCAATGTTATCTTGATTGCGATTACATAAATGCCAATTATTACTAAGTTTAATGAATATACATTTTATACCATTAGCAATAATACTTGTATTATACTGACAGACAGACATACAGACAGAGACAGACAGACAGACAGACAGAGACAGACAGACACACAGACAGACAGACACACACACAGAGACAGACAGACAGACAGACACACACACACACACACACACGCACACACACACAGAAGTATAAGTAATAATTATTTTTCAGTCTAGGCATGTTTTTCTTTGCATTCGAAATGATACTTGAAATACATATGAAAGGTGTTTAACGATAACATTCGCTTTTAGCCAAAGTATGTTTTTCTTTACTTAACGACAGAATGCCAAGGTCTACATGGTTACAAAACATACCTATTGCATACGTATTTGGAGAGTGATCTCGCATGACAAGCATACCGAACACAGAGAGTAACATAAACATGTATGTATAAAATACATCATAAACATAATAGTACAAGAAAAATTAACTTAAGTTAAATTTAACTTAACAGACATATTTTGACGGAGATGAGCCAATGTTACCTTGAATGGGATTACATTGGTACTGAATTAATCTACCACTTATGTTCCACTTATTGATTAAGTTTAATAATACATATATGTTGTACAACATCAGCAATCATACTACTATTATACAGACAGACAGAAGTAAAAGTAATAATTCGTTTTCAGCGATGTCATGCTTTTCTTAGAATTCGAAATATACCTGAAATACATATGTGATATATATATCGATAATATTCACTTTTAGCCAAAGTGCGTTTTTCTTTTCTTAAAGGCAAAATGAATGTATTTTCCAAGATTATTTAGTTCCTTAACATTAGTTATACTTAACAGTTGCACAAGTTTGAAAACGCTAGGTGATTTATAATAATACCTTTTAATATACCTTTGTCTAATTTCTATATAAAATGGACATTGCAGTATAAAATGGAACTCATCTTCAATTTCAAAACTTTGGCAACATTCACATATTCTGCGTCTCTTATCAATGTTGTGATAGCGGCCATTTTCGATTTTTAACTGGTGTGATGACAATCTAATACTGGCTATAGATTTTTTATATATATTATCAAGAGGTTTCAGTAAATAATATTGCATGCAAAAATGATCAATTAGATGTTTGTATAGGTCACCTCTGGCAGCATTTATAATTCTTGCTCTCATTTCCTGGGTGTAACAATCTTTAAATCGTTGTTCTACTACTTTGTACATATTTCCATTTATAGCATCACTAGTCCAAAAGTAAGATAAACCAAGTTTATCTAGTTCTTGTTTAATATTGTTTATCCAATCATCATTCATTATTAATCGCTCTTCTAAACATGTGGCCAATATACAATTTTTGGATTCTTTTAATTTTAACCAGTATTTTATAACTTTTAACTTTCTATTTATGTAACGTGACTGTCTACCAAGCTCGTAATATACAAAATCAGTACCTGTACTTTTTTTGACACCAAGCAATCGTTTACAAAACCCAGAATGGAGCTTTTCTATCTCTGGTGCTTTGTGAAAGCCCCATATCTCGCTTCCATACTCGAGTATGCTGTTGACATATGTATCAAACACTGAACATTTTGTACTAATATTGAAATTATTTTTNATCTTGGTTTTGGGGATATGGAGTTTTAACTTCCATTCTAAGTTATATACATATAATGAATCTAAAGGTTTCTGCAATGCTTCTGGTGTCTCCGCAATCAATGCGGTGTCATCGTCATACATAAGTAAAAACAAGTTTAAGAGACCTATTTCAATAGATGGACAATTTTCAGTGATAAATTTCATTTCGCAATCATTTACATAGAGGCTGTATAGAATCGGTGACAGAATTTCTCCCTGGAACAAACCGATTTTGTTTGGGTAGTACTCTGATAACAAACCATTAAATTTTATACATGATTTTACATTTTTATATAGCGACTGAATAATTTTCAACATTTTCCCTTTGATTCCATGTTTTATGAGTTTAGACCACAAAAAACTTCTTTCAATCAAATCGAATGCTTTTGTGTAATCTATAAAGCAACAGTATAGTCTCTTTTTCGCTTTTAATGTTTTAGTAATTAAGGTTTGTAATGCGAAAATGGCGTCTACCGTCAAAAAACCAGGTTTGAATCCAAATTGAGCATCGGTAATTATATTATGTTCACTATCCCATTTAAGTAGCATTTGATTTAACACTCCAGTATATAATTTGCCCAAACAGCTTAGTAATGAGATGCCTCTGTAGTTGTTAGGGTCATCAATATCTCCCTTTTTATGTATTGGAACAACACATGCTTTGGACCAGGCTTCCGGAAAATACCCGGATTTGAAGACATTATTGAATATTTTAGTTATACATGGTAAAAGTTCATTTTTACAATCTAAAAATAGCTCATTTAGGGTTTTGTCTTCACCACAGCTTTTGTTTCTTTTTAATCTTCTGATTGCAACTACAATTTCATCTTCTGTTATAAGTTTATCTAACTCTTCATAATCTGCCTCACAGTTTTCTTCTATAATATCTTCGGTACTTTCAGATTGTCCGATATTAAGATTTTTAAAGTGAGATAAAAAATCATCCAAGCCAATATTTGATGAAGCAGCAGAAACAGGGTTTTTTCTTTTACCAAAATATTTATAGAATTGTCTAGGGTTGTTTCGTCTGACTAATTCTAACATATCACCTTCGTATCTCTTATATTCTCTCTTAAGCCTGTTTTCTAATATTTTGTAAGAGCGTTTCCTATCTATTAGAACTCTGTGGTTAGCTAGTGACTTATCATTGTTAAAGGTTGTCAGAGCAGTTTTGTATTCTCAATGCCTATTTCTACACTCATAAGTGAACCATGGCTTGTCATTTTTGACGGGATTGTTTTTCTTGTTACTAGATATAACCCACATGTCTGTACATGTTTTACATCACAATAAGGCATAACAACAGCATTTACCAAACTACAAAAATGTCGACCATGTCGTCAACATCACAATGCGTTTTAGCGTTTATTTCACTAACTCGTCCTAAAGCGATTTCATTTTCTACTAATTTCGTTTTAATCAATTCCCTGTTTTCATCCTTCCATTTGACAAAATCGCTTGCAACTCTTGACTTAGTGTTTGTATTCTTTTCGCAGTATTCGTAGTTTGTTCTATAATTTACGCTAAAACACAATGGAGAGTGATCAGAAATTGTTGTGAAATGACCCACAGAAAAGTCACGAATATTACTAAACTTACCGGTTTCTGCTAAAACATAGTCAATTGTACTGGTTCCGTTGTGACTACAAAAAGTAATACTTCCCTTTTTATCGCCAGAATGGCGACCATTGACAATACGGAAACCAGAAGCAATACACATAGACAATAATTTTCTACCGATATTGTTGACATACGTATCGGCGTTCTTACGTGTGATTATATCCTCATCATTATTATAATTCAACATTTCAACTATGTTCAACAGAGAATCATTTAGACCATCATTTACTATGAGATCGTATTTACAACCTGTGCGAGAGTTTAAATCGCCAGTAACATATACATCACCCCTCTCTTTGTATTGGGAGAGCAGCTCTTCCAAGATTAAGAAGAGGTCTATATTGTTTTCATTTTGATAGAATACACTATTCTCTGGAGGAAAATAACAGAATATAAAAGAAATATTGACATATTGTTTTGAATATTTAAGCATTACAATGCTATTATGGATTTGATATTCGAGAGATAAATTGTTTCTTAACGATTGTTTGTAGAAGATAACCATACCTCCACCTTTGGTTTTCCTTGTAAATGAAAATTTATAATAGCCTGGTATATCAAAACGCGATGTTGAAGCGTTTTACGTCAAAGTTAAAATCAGCTAAACATACACATCGTAATCGTAGCGCGTTACGTCAGAACTAGAATAAGTTAAAGGTACGCCAATAAAAACGTGTTGGGTAACGTCATAATTTGATTGTGATATTAATGCATAAATTGATAACGTAACTCATTGCAAAGGAACCTGAATTAGTTAAAGGCGCACAATATTGTAGCGTATAACGTCAGAACTGAGGTTAGTTAAGGGCGCACAATATTGTAGCGTATAACGTCAGAACTGAGGTTAGTTAAAGGCGCACAATATTGTAGCGTATAACGTCAGAACTTAGGTTAGTTAAAGGCTCACAATGATAATGCTGATATAAAATTATGGATATTTTTGTTTTCTCTTTTTCCGACTTCTGAAATTGGTATTTACAACTCTGTGAGATGACACTATAGCGCGGCCACATCGTCCGTGGACGATCTTCTTCATATGAAGCTAGCTGTTTTGAGGACATAGAAACCCCGAGAACAAACTTATTTCAAGGTACAAAACTTCTCTTATTATCCGACATGATATAGTTGAAATTTCCTTAATGAGTAGTACGTTATCAAATTTTGTACTTGTCATTTCCGAAACGAAAGTAGCTAGATTTCTAGGAAGCTCTTCGTCTTGTCCATTTATAGGGCCCCTATGCCCCGATAGGAGTCATATTTTTCTTTCGTTTACACTACAACATCTAAGACAATAAATTCTATAGGGATTTGAAATTGAATATCCTTCTTACCAGCAAGTTGGTCTAGATGTACGATTAGAATCCTCGTTCGTGAACGTTTCCGTCCTTCAGGTACCACATATAACAGGATGCATCAGACCATGTTGGCTGTAGAATGAAGCTTCGGCTCCTTAATTTATGAGAGGGATGATAGTTTATCGTAGAACACGTCAGATGTTTCATAGAATTTTGGTTTAGGTGATTTTATGTTAGAATAAGACAGGATTTTTCCTAATTAGTCATGGCTCGAGTAGTTATGCAAAAATCTTCCTTATCGGCGACATCGTTTACGCTACGGATACACTCATCATCCACACGCGAAGAGATCTTTTCCGGTATAACATAAATTTCAGAAAAATCACTTCAATTGCTGTTATGTGTATTGGCAATAAACCACTGTCATTGATGATAAAAACTTATCTTTTTAAAAAGATAAGCAACAAGAGGTTCACAATGGTGTTTGAACACAGCTATTTTAGCCTTGTAACCACGTACAACGTACGTGTGTGTAATATGTTATATACTACATGTATTAGAGGTGTCACACTTTGTCAGATATAATCAACAACGTGAGATGTAATACTCTGGGTGAGTTGTTATCTCTGTGATATTACTTATAACGTGAGTGAGATGTTTTAAACCGTTATATGTCGTGCACCGTGAGATGGCATACACTTTGAAAAATGCGATGCATTTTGAGATATAATAAAGTTTGTGCGATGTCGGACACTGTAAGATGTTATCTCTCTAAGATCTCATACACCTGATATGTCTCACACCGTGCTTGAGATGTCTTACACCGTGATATGTCTTACACCGTGATATGTCTTACACTGTGAGATGTCTTACACCGTGCGTGAGATATCTTTCACCGTGATATGTCTAGCACCGTGAGATATCTAACACTGTGAGATGTCTTACACCATGCGTGAGATGTCTTACAACGTGAGATTTCATACACCTTGAGATGTCTAACACCGAGATATGTTTTACACTGTGAGATGTCTTACACCGTGAGATGTCTTACACCGTGATATGTCTAGTACCGTCAGATGTCTTACACCTTGAGATGTCTTACAATGTGATATGTCTTACACCGTGCGTGAGATGTCTTACACCGTGAGATGTCTTACACCGTCATATGTCTAGCACCGTAAAATATGTCTTACACCGAGAGATGTCTTACACCGTGCATTATATATCTTACATCGTACGTTAGAAGTCACATACCGTGAGATGTTTTACACCGTGAGATATCTTACACCGTGAGATATCTTACACCGTGAGATGTCTTACACTGTGAGATGTCTTACAACGTGACATATCTAGCACCGTGAGATGTCTAACACCTTGATATGTCTTACATTGTGAGATGTCTTACACCATGCGGGACATGTCTTACACCGTGAGATGTCATACACCTTGAGTTGTCTTACACCTTGAGATGTCTTACACCGTGAGTCTTACACCTTGAGTTGTCTTACACCTTGAGATGTCTTGCACCGTGAGTCTTACACCTTGAGATATCTTACACTGTGATATGTCTTACACCGTGAGTGAGATGTCTTACACCGTGAGATGTCTTACACCAAGAGATGTCTTACACCGTGATATGTCTAGCACCGTGAAATGTCTTACACCGAGAGATGTCTCACACCGTGCGTTATATGTCTTACACCGTACGTTAGATGTCTTATACCGTGAAATGTCTTACACCGTGATATGTTTTACACCGTGAGGTATCTTACATCGTGAGACGTCTTACACTGTGAGATGTCTTACACTGTGAAATGTCTTACACCGTAAGATGTCTTACACCGTAAGATGTCTTACACTGTCAGAAGTCTTACACCGTGAGATGTCCTACATTGTGAGATGTTTTATACCGTGAGATGTCTTACATCTTTAGATTTCTTACACAGTGAGATATCTTACAGCGTGATATATATTACACCGTGAGATATCTTAAACCGTAAGATGTCCTACATTGTAAGATGTTTTATATCGTGAGATGTCTTACACCGTGATATATATTACACCGTGAGATGTCCTACACCTTGAGATGTCTTACATCGTTAGATGTCTTACACCTTGAAATATCTTATACCGTGATATGTCTTACACTGTGAGATGTTCTACACCTTGAGATGTCTTACATCCGAGGTCGTGTTGTCCGCCAATCTTGATTGGTTTAATTTTTTTATCAGTAAAACGAACATCAGTTCGAGTAACGGAGAATTATGTTTTTCCAAAAAAATAAAATAAGATGCATATGAAAATAATAAGGTATGTGGTCAAATGGCGCAGTGGATAGCTCAGTTGCCTTTCAGCAAGAGCCGGGGTACAAAGAGTGACTTATATAATGGTTGTATAGTTGATGCTGTTTGTTGTGTTTCCGGATTATAAAAATAAAAAGCTGTGGAAAGAAAACAGGTGTTATTGGGATGATCGCACAAACCAGTCATTTATAGACATCAACACAGACGTTTGTTACTTACACCGCAAAACAAGCATGTCGAAAGCATATTATTGCATCTTGAGCAAAGATCAAGAAATTATTAGTTTTAACATGTGCACTGCCACTCGACTTGGTGACCTCTGCTGTTCTTTCCAGGGTCACCATTGCATTTCGAAGCCCTGTTCTGCTTCAAGCAAACCACTAAAGATTGCCACTGTAGTTTTTCATCCATACACTAGCCTCATCGTATTCATCAAGGATATCAAAATAGACACGTTGGTCTGGGAATCACCGCTGATCAGGTATTTCATTTGATTAGAGAGACGACAGTAAATTGTAATGGGATATCCAGGGTTCCAATACAGGCGTGGAGCTGTTGTGCATTGTTAAAGCTAATATGCATGTTAAATGAATCTAATTCGTCAGTTACGTTTTTGTATATATATTTTTTTCTTATAGAACAATTAAATGGCACCAAGACCCGTCGCTTAAAAACTTCAGCGACAGGCATCTTATAGTCCGAAATTGCCGAATGTGTTTGTAGGATGATGAGAGTTGCCTCCCTTCCGTCAGTTGAAAACTTAGCGGTACCGTCTCCGGTACTCAAGGTGTCGGGAATTCTTCATGAACTTTTAAGTGTAAAAACTTTATTGTAGAAAGTCTATGACTGTGTACCTGGTATGTAATAAACTACATGTATTCATGATTTTTATGCATAACCAAAATTCAACGAAATTTATCAAAATATTTTCCTGACACACCTAGTATCTGCCACTTGATAGTTTGAAACACGGAGTTGACAAGTTTTGGAATGAACAAATAAATAATAACAGGATACAATCAAAAGGTCATTACGCTCGTACCAACCGGAAAAGAAAAATGGGGTGGTCAGGTGACTTAGTAGCTAGCGAACTTGGCTTTTACAATGAACCAAGACGGCTAGAGTTCCATTCCCAGATCAAACGTGTAAGAGTATTTGCAATAGGTAACTTGCCTGACAACGTGAGATTTTCTCCAGGTACTCCGGTTATCTCCAATTAAGACTGCCTGCGCTACCATTAGAGCCAACAAGGGAATGATTAATACAAAAATAGGATAAATCTTTCAAAGATGTTGAGAAATAAATAAAATTTAATTATTAAACAGAAAAATATACAATATATATAACGTTAACAATTATATCAAAGAGGATCAGGAACTGTTGCACGGAAATAACATTAAGTGACATTCCGTTAGTAACATTTTGTTGCTACAGGACTAAACTATGTAACAATTAATTTACCATAAACTTGATATCGGCGTATGTAAGAGTATTTAGAGGAATATCTACTGAAAATGATATTCAATAACATTTATTATCACATAATGTACTATGTTATCAGGTTAATATACCCATGTCATATTTTTTTGCGTATTGACCCATGTAATATGACCTCTCAGCCCTGTGATTGGTTGTAAGCTTCAATTGTTTCAATTGTGACGTCACGCCTAGGACGTGTACATGACGTCACATGCTTACGCACTGGAGTCAAAATGGCGGCTTTTTACATTTCAAAGGTTGCATGATTATTGTCGTTTTACACGAATCTTGGATTCGTGATAACAAGGATCTTACACACGTTTTCATTTCAAATGAAACTTATGAAACTCGTCACAAATTTTTCATTTTAGCTCGCCAAAGGCTTGCTTAATTGAAAAGTTCTTAGACTCGTTTAATAAATCACATATGAAATGGAAACTCATGCAAGATCCTATATGTAAGTGATATTTTGCTGCTGAAGAAGTACGAATATGTTTGTATATAAAACACTATATTTACTCTTAACAAACTACGTTAACAGACAAACAAAATCCATTGATACATCATAGAATGAAATATTCTGGGGTTTTTTAAACGTTGATATATTCATTCTTAGTGGAAAACCGTCACAATGCAACGTTTACCATACAAAACGAACAACCACTTTTTCATATCTGTATTCTGTCGTCCTAACATTACAGTGTGTGTACCGGAAGTACAGTAACTGTTTCATTAGAGCCGTATTCGGCTAGTATATTCCGGTCGGATTTGGAATATTGAAATATATTATGAAGAACAATATTTATAAACTTAAATGAAATAAAACATACATATATAGCAACTACTGATGTGTGAAGAATGTCATTGCGCAAAACATTGATTCGATATGCAAGGACAACGTTAATATAAATACAGTTTAAACTTAACATGTATATGAGGTGATATACAATATAACCTAACAACGGTCTATGGTGATAATATTCTACAGACTGCGTATCTATAGCGATCCATCTTCCAAAACTGTAGAAAGGGTTATGGAGCACAACCATTTTAGTATTTGTGTGTCACGTTTTCATGACTTATACAGTATGGACTCTGTAACCATGACATGTAAAGCGTTTGTACACAAGGTGTGAGTAGATGCAGGAGTTTGTACATATAATGTACATTAATACTCTATTTCGATTCGGCTTTTCTAACATGTGTGCACACTTAAATTGTTATATATGTACGCAATGTCGAATGAAACCGACAAATCGATTCGGTTGTACACGAAGGTGTAAAATATGTACGTATTGGTAATATAAATTCTGAAGAAAACGTTCAGAAATGTGTTCATAGTTGCTTTTACAAAGTTTTCTTTGTGTGTATACGCTTCAAAAAGAACTTTTCATAATTATTTTATTTTCATATATGCAATCTTCTCCTGAAGAGACGTTTAACAAAGGAAGGCCTTTAGCATCTGTCTTAATATAGTTTTTAAGCGTTCGTGTGTATATATATATACCATCTACTATTCAAACTGCGTATGGCAAGCACCGTTCAAAGAATACCCGACAATAGAGTTGTCTCCCTATCGAGCCAGTGTTTCCTTCGGTCGAGGGAGAACCGGTGAGTTTACATTGGTATTCCTATTCTAGCCTCGTTTATTTTGCTTGGTTTTAATGAAGAAGACAAAATGTAATTGTAATGTCTACAGAAATATCAGTCTATAAGGAATGGCGTGTCCAAATATGATAATCCCACCATTATTCCTCCCTCGTCTGAGTTCACATTCTTAGTCCGTAACACGTGGCCAGTAACACTATTGTATATTTCTTTGTCCGCAGTGCTGTAACAGAGATGACAAGTACAATGAAACATGTCTAATCCAAACAACACTTTGTGAATTCAGCATCCTCAAAATTTCAGGGGTAATGCTCTTTATATTCTCTGCAACTCTGGAATGTGTCGTGACAAAATCGAAGGCATGCAGTAATCTATACTTCGGATGTACACCATACGATACAATTTTGTCTAATTGTATCATCCACAAGGTGGACCGAGCTAAATGAGCTAGCTATTTGATTGGTCTCAGGCAAAAAAAACACCCGGACCAATAACTAGGCTGATACATGTCCTTTGAAGATAACAGAGGAGCGGCTAACAACATAAACCTAGTAAACTTCACGATTACACGACCGACATATTCATATGATGTACAAGAAGGCTAAAAATTGTCTAATTGTAGCATCTACAAGTTGGCGCGCACTGAACTTAAGTTTTCGTCATGGCACATTGCAGGGGTGCAGAGAATGCAAGCAAGCATGTTTTGAACATCACATACTCATAAAAAACGAGGTTAGAAAGATTGTCCATTGACACTTAGAAAGTCAATACCAAACGCCAAACAAAGTAAACATTTACTGCACCAGATGGTTATACCGTCCATTTAGGAATTACCAGTGGTATTTAAAGTCAAAAGATTGTAAATCTACGTGTTAAGTGTTCCAAAATACACGTAGATTAAGGTGAAAGGTATATATAAAACCCTCTAAAACGTTACACTTTTAAAACCTTTTGCTGCTACAGATTATTTGTCCTAAAACTGCCTCATTATATATCATGGTACAACGGGAGGTATCTCCTGGTCTGATATAACTCCGAAAAGGGTTAAACTAAACATGTAAGATGGGAAGCGCTTTGTGTTCTTGCTGTTGAATACAACGGTACAATGTTTCTTGTAAAATTTGTTTTAAACCATGACTTTAGGGAAGTAAAGAATAGTTACATTGTTTTTTCATTCGAAATTTCTATAATTTGTAAATGTATAACACTATTTTTAAAGTGACTGATGTTTATTGAATGTATCTGTATTTCTGTTAAACTATTTTTTAATTGAATTATCATTATGGGTTAGTGGAGAAATATTTATCGTAAAATCACAGTCAGCAACTGATACCTCCTACCGGATATAGTCCATTGCTAGGATTTCACTTAAATTTACATTGCAGGTTTTTTACAGTTTTATTGACACACTGATATTCCATTTGTTATGGAACAAGTTTGTAATATCTAAATGCTATAAGTTTCTTTTTGTAATTCTTCTACTTCTACTTCTTAATGGTACTGACTAACTTCAACCATTTGAAGATAAAATGTCAGACGAGGAGTGAAACATGGAAAGAGATTGTCAGGTGGGAGTTTAATCCACTCGAATATAGTTCGAGGGAAGAATGATGCCTTTCTGGTCTGGGTTTTTGAGTGGGGAATTTGATGCGAAAACTGGTGGTTTGTTCGTGATTTTCTAACGGTAGGGATTAATCTGTCTGATTTAACGATAGCGATTTTCTGGTTTACAATGTTATGAAGCATGGTCAGACGAGCATCTCTACGTTTATCTGCTAGAGGGCGCAGCTTTAGGGGGTCCAGCATTTCTGACACACTGGAGGTACGATGGTTGTACCTGTGCTTATTGAGCACATAGCGCGCTGCCCTTCGCTGGAACATTTCCAGCTTGTCAATATTTGTTTGGGTGTGAGGGTCCCATACTGTATAGGCATACTTAAGTGATGGTTGAACTAATGATTTGTATCCCTGTACTTTGGCTGATGTTGAGCCAATTTTAAGATTTCGTCTTAAAAAGCATAGCGTAGAATTTGCTTTTGGGCAGATAGTATTTATATGTGAATCCCATTTAAGGTCAGATGATAGTGTTACACCCAGATACTTGGCCTGACTAAGATGTTCCAGTATGTGTCCATGTAAAGTATAATAACGGACAATTGGAGTTTTGTTTTTAGTCACCGACAACACATTGCATTTGTTTGGATGGAAGATCATTTTCCATGTATTTTCCCAGAGCGCTAGTTTGTCAAGATCTTTTTGAAGTGTTTTAGCATCACTGTTTGACATGATAACTAGATATGCAATAGTGTCGTCTGCAAATAAACGTAGCATTTAGACCCACAGGGATATTGTTTATAAAGTAAAGAAATAAGCTGGGTCCCAAAACTGACCCCTGGGGTACCCCGGAATGGACATCAACAAAATCAACATTCAACTACTACTGTCTGAGTTTTACCGGTCAGGAAACTCTAGATCCAGTTTGCGACATTTCCACGTATACCATAATGTTTTAGTTTATGGTTTAGGAGAGAATGACTGACCTTGTCGAAAGCCTTAGCAAAGTCAATATCTGTTTGGCGTCCCTCATCTAGATTCTTGATGGGTATCGGCATCGATCATGATAGTTGAGACCACAATGTGTTCCATAATTCTGCTACAGATACAGGTCAGAGATATGGCCCTGTATTTTTCTGGGTGAAATTTTGGACCCTTTTTATAAGCAGGTGATACATTTGCAGATTTCCAGTCTGAAGGCACTTTGCCTGTTTCCATGGACTGATTAAATAATAGGGTTAAAATCGGGTCTGTTTCTGTTGCAAGCTCTTTTAGTACTCTGGGTTTGATGTCATCAGGGCCCGAGGCCTTGTATTGTTTTAGGCGTTGGATTAGTTTTAAGACGCCCTTTTCATGGATAGAAATTGCAGGCATGGCAGGGTATTTATCGTGAGTAGGCATGTTGCATCTAGTGCGAAACTGCTGGTAATTTAGTATGTTATATGAAAGATAACTACTTTATTCAATGTTGTATTTTCAATATTGCCGTAGTCAATTTGATTAAAAAACAATCCAAGTAAGAAATTTAAATAAAATAGTAAATCATTATGTGTTTACGAACGACATGGAAACATAACTATTAGTATTATTTCCATAATCCGAAGACCTGTATTGAATACAATTTGTTTTAAGTTCCAGCCTTTTAAAAAAAATGTGGACCTGTGAAATGACCGAGAATTGAATTATCTACTTACCCCATATAAACACCGAAGATACCAATTTCAGTGACAACAGTCTGGAGGCAGGCCTCTGATCCGGCTTTCAGAAGATAGCTTGTCTGAGGCCAAGGTAAGATCCTCTCCATCAAAATGTATCCCGCCCGTTCCTCCAAATTCTTTATTTTTGACAGCAAACACGTAATGTCCTCCCCGTAAACGTTGTTACCTGTAGATAATTGATATTTCTTTCTTACTACTATGCGACCAAAATCGTTTTTGAATGCTACAAAACTACAGTATACATACATGTATCTAATCAGTCTCAAAGACCACAAATAAAGTTATGCTTATTATTAAGTGCGTCAGTTTTATTATTTATTTTCACTATTTATTCATTTTATTCTATTTCGTATCATATTTTTTTTGATGTATTTTCTTTTATTTATTAATTATTGAATTATTATAAATGTCTTCATTTATCTGTTAAATATTCGAAAATTAGTGATATGGAACAGTAAACATTTACTCGGTTGGTTGTAAGTTTCTACTTACAAAATTTTGTAATTGTTGCGTTCTTTATTCGTATTCCATGTGATTATGTCATTTTTTGTCAGATTTAACTTTCGCAAATTGAATTTGAATTGTAGATCTTGCGTTTCAAAAGTGACCTGCAATGTATGCTAAGCTGTCTACTCTGAAAGATATCATAAAACCTATTTTTAAATCAACAAGAAACCATAATATTTGGGGTTTGAGATGTAACTGCAAGCAGCGAGAAAGCAAGTATATCCCAAAAGTTTTGTGTGAAATTTGAGGTTTCACTTTTGAAACCAATTTCTATTATAAATTCTTACCACAGTCATTATAATGCATATTCCAACCTTACTTGGCTCTTGACATACGTAAATAAAGATATTTCCCTCCATGGGGAACCCCTGGAAAACCCACCAATCAGACGGCAGTATTCACGCACGTGATCAGACACGAAGCCATGCTTCCCACTTCATAATTCCAAAGCCAAAAAAGGTGAGAGCCAAGGAGACAAGGGGAGGCTGGGAGGGAACTCACCTAATGACTGTGGTAAGTATTTATAATAGAAATTGGTTTCACAAGAGAAACCGCAATTCTATTTCAAAATAGAAGGAGATCTGCTGAAAGCATGAATCTCGCTTCTGCGGCGACCGGAAGCAAAGCTATAAAGAACACAGTCTTGAAAGTAAGAAACTTCCGATCCGTCGACTTGAGGGGCTCGAACGGCGCCCTCGACAAGGAATCTAGCACAAGTGCTAAATTCCACCTAGGGACCAATTTCCGTGAACGAGGCTTTTCAATGTAGAAGCCCCTGATGAGAGCAGACAATGAAGCGTCCGAGCCCACAGACTTGCTACCACAGAAAGCCAGCACACTAGCAATGGCTGAACGATAGCCTGCAATAGTTCCCGGAGACAGACATTTGTCCTGGAACAGAGACAAAAGAAAGTCGGCTACAACGGGAACAGAGGCAGAGACTGGATCAATCGACCGTCCGACACACCAATCACCGAAGGCGGACCATCGAGATTGGTAGACGGCAGAAGACGAATGTCTAAGTGATCCTGCGATGCGAGTTGCAATTTCTCGAGAAAATCCCGTCTGAGTGAGCCTTCCCGAGATAGCATCCAACCGTGAAGGTGGAGCCGTTCTGGTCCGGAGTAGAACTGCCGGGACCTCGGTTGAGACAGCAGATCCGACAGGGGTGGGATGCTGCGCGGGAAGTCCACCGAAAGCCGAAGCAACAGAGGAAACCAAGGTTGTCGATGCCAGAGCGGTACAACCAGCAACACAGTACAAAGGTGTAGAAGAATCTTCTCCAACACCCTGCCCACCAGATTGAAGGGAGGAAACGCATACGCGTACATTCCCGACCGGTCATGGGATAGAGCATCCATCGCCATAGGATCTGGAACCGGAGACACAAACGTAGGGAGTCGAAAGTTCAGGGCCGTGGCGAACAGATCCACATGGGAAAGAGACCGGAACACCGAACTCTTGAGAGTCCATTCGGTGAGAACCTAGCTCCGAGACCGAGACAGAGTGTCGGCCAGAACATTCAGATGACCTGGAAGGTGTCTCACCTTGAGATCGAGACTGATCTCCAGGCACAGCAACAGGACCTGGGTGGATAAAGCACACAGAACCGGGGAACGGGTGCCCCCCTGGCGCTGCAGATAAGCCACCACAGTGGAGTTGTCTGTCGCCAGACAAATGGCCTTGCCCTGCAGGGAGGGTCGAAGGCCCCGAAGGGCCAACAGAATAGCACGCATTTTCAGAACATTGATGTGTTCTGAAAGCTGTTTCCCCGACCACCCCCCCGCCGACGTCTGACCGGAAAGGTATGCACCCGAACCGGTCATGGACGCGTCGGTGTAAAGGGTCATAGCAGGAGATGCCCGAACCAGAGGAACTCCTGCCAAGACATTGCTCTCGAGAGTCCACCAACGAGCTGATTCCTTCACCGACTCTGGCAGAGGAATGTACACATCCCACTGCCGAGACACCGGAGACCAAACTGACAGAAGGAACAGCTGGAGCGGACGGATGTGAAGCCGACCCAAGGGAACCACATCCGCCAGTGAATTCAGGTAACCGACGAACCGGGGGAACCATCGAACCTGAATCCGCTCCACACTGACCAGAACGGAGACATACAGAGAGGCCTTCTTGAACTTGGACGCTGGTGGAAGGACAAACCCCAGATCGGTTCTGAACCGATAACCGAGGAAAACAAAATCCTGGGAGGGGAGAACCTCCGACTTCTCCATGGAAGGGATGAACCCTAGGCGGCACAGAACGCCGATAACCGACCTCGTGCTCCGGGACAGGATAACTGGATCCACTTGGAGCAACAGGGAGTCGTCGAAGTAGATGTGTGCATCTACCCCGAGACTGTGGAGGTGCCCCACTACTACCTGCAACAACTTGGAGAAAACCAAAGAGGCCGTAGTGAGGCCGAAGGGCATAGCGGGAAACTGGTAAACCTTCTGCTTGAAAGTGAACCTGAGGAACTCCCTGGCCGACCTCCTGACAGGGATGTGAAAGTAAGCATCCTTCAGATCGATGGACGTAGCCCACATCCCTGGACGCACAGACGCAATGTGCAACCAACAAGGTGTGGCATGGCAGCCTTGCAAATTGCCTGGCTGAGGCGCTCCATCAGTCCAACCTTGCTGGGGAGCTGCTCCACCGACTTGCAGCTCGCAGCCAGCAACGCAGAAGTAAACCAGTCTGCGTAGGACAGAACATGGAGAGCCAGCCTAAGGAGACGCTCCAACTTAGAGTGCTCCCTAGGCCCCATCACAACCTGGTCAACACAGCGTCCCGGCCACTTAGCCAGATCCCTCTCAAGGGAAACGGAATTAGGGGCCAAGACTGGGTCGTGGATGCGGTACGTATCTGCAGCTAAATCTGCGATGTCTGCAACCACAACCTGAAAAGCTGGGAGGAAAAAAGGCTTGCGAGCCTTGCTCACCTTCTGCTTTGATGAAGCGTTGACCTGAGCGAGGGACGAAGCAACGCCTCGTCCCTCCGCAAGAGACCTAGCAGAGGCCGAGGAGGCAGATGCTAGCGGAGGCAACATGCACTGAAGGAGCGAAGTGCGCTCCGGGACGGCCGAATCCGAGGAAGGACGTGGGCAAACCCCGTCCCTCAGAAGCTTCATAACTTCTGCACGTAAGGTGCGAAACGAAGCCGAAACCTCTAGAGGCACCGGATCAGCATCTCGGGGCCGGGATTGGGAAACATAGGAAGGGCCTTCCGAGTCCAACCCAGACGAATCCAACGACTCCAAATCAGAATCAGTAAACTCGCCGACTCTATCCTCATCCCGAGTCTCCGTAAAATTGGAGCAACCGGGAAAGCCCCAAAGAACGTCCCTCTTATCACTAGGAGAGGCCCCCGCCGAATCCACCTCCATCAACGTCACCCTCCGAGGAGGGGTGCGAGGAGGGGAAAGAGAACGTGACCTTCCCGAAGGAACTATCGGGGCAAGCGATAGTCCCTGAGAGACAGCAGGAGCAGGATCAAGAGACCTGGAACCTGCTGTAAGGTAGGAGTTGACGCAGGACAGCGGAAATTACTGGTAGACTCGAATTCCAAAATAGGAGCTAGACAACGCAGCATGACCAGCAGCCCTAGCATCACGCGGTCTCTGCCTGACAGAACCGGCAGCAGAAGCTGGCCGGGAGCGCGAACGCTTACGCGAACGGTTCGGTGGCGGATGAAGGGGGAACGCATCGCCGCAGGCAAGAAGGCGGGGGNATATCCAGGCTGGAAACCAATACCTCACTGGGGTAGAGGGGGAGCAGCCGGAAAAGCCCCCTGCTTAAAAGAAACCCCAAGACTGCCCATAGGTGGTTGGGGCGGAGCATAAAAAGGAGCCTGTTGACCCCAATGAGCTCCATTCCCCCCCTGCAAATAGGTGGGATAAACCAGGGAGGGCCCTGGAGCAGAGCCACCAACCTGATGCCCGAAACCAGAGGCAGGACCTGTGTTGGGATGGGGGTGGGGGGGCAGGATAAGGAACCTAAGGCCACCTACACACCCGCCGCCATAAGCCACACCTGGCTGACCTGACCAACTCCACCCAGACTGACCTACAGCAGGGCCAAAACCTGTAGGGCAAGTAAAACAAGCCCCACCAGGGGAGCAGTTTGCACCGGCAAAACCAAACGCAGCCGCGCTGGCACCTACCATAGTAAAACCTGGGTAGGAGGCACAAGGGATAGAGCTGGGAGCATAGGTTTTTACACCAGTGATCACACCACTGTAAAATCAAGCCGAGGCATCACTTACCAACGGACCGGGCAGCAAATGCTGCACAGTGGTGGACGGCGTGCTAGACGCTATCACCACGCCAGGGGCTACATCAGGGATGCAGGGAACCCCGGGAGCGGACAAAACTGCCGGGGGCCGGTCTCCGACAACAACACCCTCAGGAGTGGAGCGGACCGGCAGGAGGCTACCAACAGAAGCGTCCGCGGACACAACATGGCTGGCGTGTTTAACATTCCCAAGGGAATGTTTAGCCACCTGCCCTCCGACCAAAAATTTGGGGAGAAGGCCGCCCCCCCCCCTGTCCCTTAGTAACCGTGGTGACCGGGACAGACCCCAAACCCCCACGTCGACCGACAAAACGGAAGGGGGGGGGGGGGGGGGGGGGGGGGGGGGGAGAGATAGAGAGGAAGGTCCGGGTCCAAATTGTTTAACAATAGCCCCGGTACGGGCCGAAATCGGCGAAACGAACCACAGGGAAGACTCAACAGAGGTCGAAATTCCGGTGGTGTTTTCCGAGGGCTTAGGCCTAGCCTTAGCCCTCGCCCCATCCCTACCCCTCCTATCCGACTTACCTGCACGCCCTCGCGGGCGGGGAGAACCACCGGCAGGAGGCGGCTGCCAGGCACGGCAAATGTCACAAGGCTGCTCCAGAGAGCAAGACCGACAGCTAGGACAGTAAGGGTGGGGGTCGGAAGCCTCAAATAAATGACCCCCAGGACAGCGCCTTTGAGAAGGAGGAGTCTCCATCTCAAAGTAAACAAACCGTCAAACGCGAACACGTGGCCGCAGCCTGGTCGCAAAATAAAGCAAAACGCTAAATTAAAACAAAGTAAATTAATATAGTATAAAGGATACAGTATATATCGGTACAAACAACGCCAGTAGTAGTTGGAACCCCGTAGAAGAAACTAAAACACGTCCGTAAACACGGAAGGCTGAAGGAATTATGAAGTGGAAAGCATGGCTTCGTGTCTGATCACGTGCGTGAATACTGCCGTCTGATTGGTAGGTTTTCCAGGGGTTCCCCATTTGGGGGAAAATTCTTTATTTGCGTATGTAAAGAGCCAAGTAAGGTTGAAATATGCATTATAATGACTGTGGTAACGTATTTTGAAATAAAAATAATACAAGACATTATCTCTGAATTTAAAGTCTTTGTCTAGATTTTAGGAATTCATCATTTTTATAAAGCCTTGGAGAACATCAAGCCTTTCAATAATAAGGCGAAAACCTCTAAGCTACATGACCTACCTCCGCCCTCTCTATTGGTTTTAAGGACGTATCTCTGAGGATCAGCAAATGCCTTCTCTATTGCGTCATCGCCATCTTCACCCTGCAAGGTTAAAAAATATATGAAATTTTAAAGACAAAAGATAAAATAATATTATTCCGAAACACTTGCTCGAAAAATCCTCTAAAAACTGAAAGTGTCTTCTATAAGTCCGTAATGTTATTTTGTCTATAGGGACCATTTTAAATAATAACCTGTATGAATACCTGTAGATCGAACTCACGCAATGCAGATAATGACGGAAAGTTCAAATACATGCCTATTGAGTAAAAATGTGTAAGAAACCTTTTTTGAAATTAAAAGAAAATAACGTAGTGTGTTATGAAAAACTGTTAACTAATGTAAGAAAAAAGAGATTTGTGTATTGTTTTATAACATTTAGTCTGTGCAATCAAAAAATGTAAAATATTTTCTTCAAACTAGTTTCTTTAATTACATGCATACCTTTATGCGGGCATTTGGTTGATTATCAACAGACTGATAATGCTATGTAAAAATACTTTATATTAAATCCATCAGATTTAAAGAGAATTAAGCAACAGGTAAAGCCTGTACAAGCCCTCTCTCCCTAGAGACACGTTTCAAACAATAGCACAACTTTGTCTCTATACCGTTCATACTTAAACTACCACGCAATATAACCTTTATTGTATTATGTAGAACGGAGTTTAAAAATGTAAAAATCATAAAAATTGATTTTTATTTTTATTTGAGCGAAAATAGACTGTTTACCAAGTCGATACTATATTGCTTTACGAAGGTCTCCCTGATGTCCCGTGCTATCCTATCGTCCTTAATAAACCTCTCCACGGCTCCAGGACGACAAAGCTCTTGCTGGACCTTCTTCGTCCCGGCTAAGTGGTACTGGACGGTTGGACACTTGATCGCTTTTGACCGCTCCATCATCAGGCGCGTGTTCCAATCCTGTCCAAAAGAGTTTAGACAAAAAGTGACGAAGAAAAATTTGAATAAAAAAGGAATCCTCATGCTCTAGCTTTCGGGTTTTGGATCGACGCTGGCACTGATGTTTGTTATCGTATGCATTGCACAAACATAATATCGTGTTTTCGAAGACTTTATCCTTATTCTAATAGACAACATCGTATTTTATTGGCCTAAACGTATTCTTTAGCTATCGGGGTACCCTCAATTCACTCTCTTTTTTCGACATTGCATCCCCTTGATGCCCAATATCTACTTACCTTTTCTGATTTATAATTCGCTGGAGAGTATCCTATACGGAAATACACGACGGCCACCTCACAATCATCTCTGGGACATCAGAAAAAGACAAATGCAAAGATAGGACTTGAAATGTGAGAAGACGCATGCAAATGACAAGGTATTCAGAGACATGTGTTTACCCAGAGCCTAAACAAGCAAATATGAAAAAACAGGAGCCATATGAATAAAGACAAATAAAAACACCTTAAACAGCACTAATATGGACTCATCAAAAATGTGTGCTGACATTACCCTATATGAATAAACAGGGATTGAAACAAAGGAATGAGGTCATATAAAGAGTCAAAAGAAGTGGTGTGAAAAGATTAATGTTCGTGGGGTGTTAATTTCGTTCATTTCGTTGGTGATCTTAATCTGAAGTAATTAGTTACAAGTTTGATATAAAGCATTTTTTCGTTTTAGAGGTTGTTCGCAATTAACGAAATCATGTATCCACGAAATGGTGTTTTGTCGGGAAACCACGAAATTTGGGCTGCACGACAAACTCTAGTTTCATTGTACATAGACAGGGTTTTGAAATCTATGAAAGTAGCCCAAGCCTACAAAGACATGTCCAAAGACATATACTGGGCTTACAAAGTCATGGATAAAGAGAGGGACTTACATGCCATGTGCATAGACAGGTCATAAAAGACACGGGAATGGACAGGGCCTGCAAATTTGATGGCCAAGTAACTAGGCGTCTATACAGAAATGTCCATAAATAGGGCCTACCAAGACATATGTACAGACAGGCCATGCAGAGTCATGCATATGTGCATATATACACGGGCTACATAATCATTATATTCAATGCCTCCAACAATGTCTTTGTAAACAGGACACTGAAGTAAAACCTGGATGTTTTAGAATATTGTGTTTTTCCATTTTATCTAGCGAATTACAGTAGCCGTAAAACCTCTTACGAATTGATTTGACTTACATAAGCAATGCTTTGTCGCTTTTTCTGACATATCCTCGTTCATTCATTTCGTCAAATGTGACATATTTCACATGAACAGATCTGTCAATCATAAACATTTCCAAGTCTAGTCGACGCTGGTCAAGCCTAGTCCGTTCCGGTTCTGACACAAAAAACAGCACACACGCCCTGGAATATGTATACAAGTAGAGTGTTATACTGCATTGGGGAGCACAGATGGGGTTAACTTTTTCATGTCCCATATAATTTGTCGCTGTCTTTCTCCTGGTTAAGTAATACGATTGTTATAAGTGATGGCACAGCTGTATTTAAGGTCGCCTTGTTATGAGATGTTCAATTATTATCATAAGTCATGAATTATTATACATTATTGCAGGCAACACCCTTCTTTGTTTCTCCCAAATTAATCATTATTTTACGAGGGCGAAGCACAACAAAGAATAATGTGTTCCTACTGCAAGGGCAACAAATAGTCCATCCAGTCGGAAATCGGTTGTGGTGGCTCTTGACGATTTTTCAGGAGAGGCTTCGAACAAGGTAAATATGATCAGGGAAACTCAAACGCGTTCAATTTTTATTATTTATTATTTTGTATCTGCTGTATTGGTGGACGCTGTTTGTACGTTTATAGTTTTAACTTTTGAAATAAGTTATTCTTTCTGCTTTCCAAAATGGTTTTTATTTTTCACTTGAACTTGTATTAATAACACCTCTTGTTCCCGTAAGCCTTCCACCCTTCCACCAATCCTTGGGCAAGTCCATGGGCGGGATTGTTGTCGGGTACCTACAGCAAATAAAATAATATCTTACCTATGGAATGCAATGCCAATATAATTGATTTGCCGATTCTAAGCAAAAATGCAGAAAGAGTGCGTTACATTATGACAATGATTAGGTACTCTTTCTGGATTTTTCTTTGAATTGGTACACGGGCACGCATACACACATACATAGCACACGTTGAGGCATGTACTTAAATGACCCAGGCTGTTTATAGGACGCTTAACCAAATAAAACCAAACCAAACCAAATAGCTTTGGTCAGCCTTATGGTCTAGAATATATTCAAGAACTGGTGTTCATGTATTTAGGAACCAATTCGACCACTGTTCTTGAAGTGACGTTTTACAATCCTATTTTGTGACGGGAGAATTGTCAAAACTTCGTTTTAACCAAATGAAATAGCAATGTCCATATATTAATGGCAATTATTAGGTTAAATGCAACAAAACATTTTTCCTTATTTTCCATTATTTTCATTAGGACGGAGGAAACATAACATACTTGTGAATCCTCAAACTGTTTTCCGGCCAGTGTTAGAGAATACCTGAGAAAGGAAACAAATATAACCATTGAAGTTCTACACAAACAAGATGGACATATAAAGTGAGGATGATATTGAATTGAATTATTTCTATTATGTTCTTTAACAAGGCCATATGTGAAAACTAAAAAAAAAAGAGAAGCAATGATGATGCATATAACAAGGTGGAAGATCACGCAAAGGTGTATTCTAATTTAAAATATTTCATATTTTCCTGAACAGGACCATATGTACAAATAAACAGAGATTAACTACAAAGATATACATACCAAGATGGAGAGATAACATAATGATGTATATTGTATTCTCCTTATCAGGGCCATATTTAGATGTTTGAATATTTTTATTTCTACCAGGCTTTGAAGATAGAATGGAAAATGATCAGGACACAACTTTGATTTAAAGAAGCTTTATTTGGATTGACACATCTCAAATCCTTATAACAATCATTAATTACAACAATCTTTTAACGTGTACATATTCTGTAAATCAATATCTTTTGATAAATATCACAGTTATTCTCGTTCTCAGCATATTGTGGTAGACATTTTGTGCACGTGCATATGACTTAAAGATGTACTCTTCTGATGTTTCAATCACGTTCAAGTTTCGTTTTGATCTGGTGTAACGGGTTTTTGTAATATTTAACAAATTATGATCAAGTTTATTAGCAAACACGCATCTGAAAAATATGTCAAAAAACTAGATGCCTGTTGTATGTAGAGCTTTTTTTACAATAATTTAAAAAAAATACCATTTCGGCGGCCATTTTGAAAAGGTGTATTAATGTGTATTTCTTGCGCTTCAAAAAAGGCCAAAATTTCACCTTTTTTGACACTAGATTTATCACTTTAATTGTCATTGTGTAGCCATTTTTAATTGTAGCAGGTTCAATTTTGCTGTCCAACTTTATAATGTTTAATATGATAAAAGCAATATGCAACAAACTGGAAAATTATACATTATTGATATTTTGTTTACATATTTAATGTAACTGAAGCACTTTTGATTTTTGACTCCGATAAAGGTAAAAAATAACACAAATAATAATGGGACAAAAAAAGAAGCACAGTTTGTGGATGTTTTAGAAAGAGAAACACATTTTCCTTTTATTCATTAAATATTAAAAAAAGTTAAATAGCAGAACTTTTTATATGAAGCGTTTAATCTACAAAAATAGTAAAAAGATGAGTATTTGTTCATTAAAAAATAGGGGGTTGGGGTAACTAAAATAAAATCGGCTTTCTGAGTTTAAAGAATAAAATTAAGAAATTTTGCTTTCATAATTTAAAAGGAAATAATATTTTCACCAATTCTACAAACATTCATACATATCTGATAACACACTTGGAAGAAATTGTATGAATTTGTTCTGCAAATGGTCAAAACCCCAACAATTACCTAAAATCACATGATGTGTTAAATCGGTATCTTTGACAATCCTTGACATATAAGTGTTAGAAGAAATCATTGTGTCATTGTAATAGATACAGATTGTCATAAATAAATTTTGCTGTTTCGTTCTTACAGGACTAATCGTTGAATTTAGTTTCCGAAAAGTTGAATTCCAAATAGCTCAAAACTACAGGCGAACAAAAGGGAGGATGTGTAAAACCTCTTGGTCATATGAACTTTAAAAATTACAGTGGTACTGTTTAATTTCAAATTTATAAAGTGTGAAAATTAATAACCGTGCCATTACTCAAATAAAATATGTGTTGCCATTAAAGTTACGACAAACTTCGGGGACTAAAAAATCCAACAGCACAGTCTACAACCTTGTACTGTATATTGAAAGATGAACTTGGCGTTCGTATAACTGTACCTGTACACATCATAAAACTTAAATATATTCTCAAAAAAGTGTTAATTTAACTACCAGGAATCACTAAAGAATATCAAACACTTTGACAGATCGAACATACACGTCCGTCACAAAACGAAATCTTGTTACATACCGATGTACATTGTGCAGGTGTGATACATGACCAGCAGCACCAGCTGCTATCGTGTTGAATTCAATCTGCTTCATCTGTAAACTGTCTGGTACCGTGGCTGAGGCCGTAGGGTCAACATAGGTCAAAGAGTCAACGGGGGTCTCTTTTTTATCATCCATCATATAATCATTTCGGAACAATCCAAGACTTATAGGCTAGAAAAAGGGAAAAAAACAAATATTTTCAAGCTTTAGTTGTAACAGAAACCGTTACCTAAATATGGTTGATGACTTTTGGTTTTTGTGTTTTTCGATTTGCCGCGACGACGAAACAAAGAGCTCTGATTTATTGCTTGACGGCGCTTTGTCGCTTTTTCACCTTTCGTGGAAGAGCAAAAATGTGTCATTTTATTTCAAATGGACGTGCTGTTTAAGAGAATAAAACGTCGCTTTTTAGCTTCGTTACCGCGACAAAACAAACAGGGAAAAAAAAGCATAAGTTGCCATAATTAGCTACCCCCCCCCCCCCCCCCCCCNCCCCCCCCCCGTTACGCGCTAATACACATGCTCATCAATGTTTGGGTGATGTTTCATAAGCGTCTGGTCAGCAGTTTCCGAGAAAACGTCCGGAAACAATAGCAAGAAGAAAAGCGTTGTAATAATAAAAGGAAAGAGAGAAGCAACAAATGAAGGCCTCCACTAAGTTTGGGACTTAACCAGCCTGAATGAGGTCATATGAATATAAAGATAAAAAGTACAATGGTTATTGCTGTAATCGTGTGTAAATTCCGGGATGGTAGACTGTAATAGGGACGCAGCCAGAGCATTCTGTATAAACAGGAATTACGTATGGCGTGTTACGAACACGTTATAACGATACTAATTTGATCATTGCAGTCACTCACTTCAAAATTCTAAATATTATCGTACATGAGATATTAACTCGAAATTTGGACTTATGTGGTAACATGAAAAAGAAAGAAATAGGAAAAAAGTTCACATGACCATTTAAGTTCTTCCATGGCACTAAAATATACTGTGATTCGCTGTTTATATAACGTTTGTGTCTATGACATCTCACCTGGGTAGCACCTTCTTCGGTCACCACTTGTAAAATGTCCCACAATCGCTTGTTGAAGTCATCGACCTTTAGAACACTAACATGTTGTGATGAAATTAAAACACGGAAACTATATTACTCTAGCACATAAATGACAGTGATAATGAATGCATGGATACATGATGTCTTCATTGTAATGTTTTCAGAGGGTAGTCAGGTGGCTCAGTGGATATTGTTCATGCCTTTTCCCAAGGCGGCCGGGGTTCGATTCCCCGATCGGATTAAGAACTTTAAATTTAGCTTAAAACAAATGTATCGATTACCATATTTATTTGTTGGCCTCATTATTTTAAATTATTATACTCGAAACAGATATATAACCTGCTGAATTGGTCATGTTCACAGAAAACAAACCTCACGTGTATATTGTAAAAGTTAACTGGAAAATGTAAACATAAAACCCAAAAACATCTCTTATTACCTCGGTGAAATTTTGAAGATTGTAATGAATAATTTTGTCTGTTATTACATTTTGGTAAATTATATTTATACCTCAAATTCGTTAATTTGACTTCATTTTCGGTCATTTCTTGACTGACTTGGATGACAAGGGAGTGAGTCTTCCGTCAGCTGTGTGTTATTTCAAAAACTAAAACACCAATGTAGACTTACTCCCTCTGCGGTTTCCAGGTTAAAGACTTACTCCTGTGGCAGTAGCTGTAACATCACTACGGAGATTTTGAGATGTGTTAAGTTTAAGTTCCTATCAACTAGGCCTTCATGTATCTCCCTTTCATTCGCATACTTGACCTTAATAATATAGAGATACTTTTTTCTTCTTTCTATATTACTACTAACTGTGTTATCAGGTCTATGGAAGCTGTCATAAACAGGAAATATGTCCTTATTAGTGTTTTGTGGAATAATTGTAATCAGACAGAATCCGATGTTCTTGAATCCATCAAGCTAGATGCTGCTAGAATAGTTACTGGATTACGTAGGGGTACTAGTCATGCTGTCATTTATAATGAACTAGAATGGGATACACTTAAGAAACGAAGAAATGACCAGCAACATATGCTATTTTTTAAAATAACAAACCGTCATACCCCTAATTATCTGTTTGAAAACAATGAACCTTATATTATAAACAATGACTTAGTGACTCATGATATTCGACATCAACGTGTATTTCAAACACCCATTTGCAGAACTAGTATATATTTTAACAGTTTCTTTCCTAGTATGATGTCTCGTTGGAATAGATCTGATTGTAATTATTGTAATTTGAGGTCGGTAAGTGAACTTAAAAAGCAACTCGTCCATCATGCCTTTCTTCCTAATGCTGAGGATACATGTACAAATGCTTTTAAATATGGAGGGACTAGATCTTTTAACGTCATGTTATGTCAACTTAGAAACCAGGCAAGTCAATTAAATTCTGATCTTTTTAGAGACCACCTGACTAATAGCCCATCCTGTATATGTGGCAATCATAACGAAGATGTGGATCACTTCTTTCTATACTGCCCTAGGTATATAATCCAAAGACAAATCCTATTAGATTCTCTGTCTCATTTGCAGCTTAACATTCAACTAAACCTACATTTAAATCTTGACTTAAACCTGATTGAACATTTACTAAATAATATCAATATACTAACTAGGGGAAGTAACCACCTTAGTCATGGTCCTAATTCTGCTATTTGTATCTGTGTTTAGAAATATATTGAGTCTACTAACAGATTTTGAAATAACTGTTAATTATAGCCCCAATGTGTATGTATACATGTCTACATGAATACTCCTTCAACACGGCTCCTGCTCTGGATTGTCAATGACTGGGTAAGCACACAGTGGTGGTGTGTATGGACATTTTAGTGCTGCCCAGTTATTATTGCTAATTGGAGTAGGTTCAACTAATAATATTTAATATTTACTATATTGAATGAAGGTTCCAGTTTTTGATATTAATATATGTTGTAAAATTTATAATATTTGATTATTTCAAATGAGTATACACACATGGCTTTCCATTTTGAAATATATTTTATATATACATTGTACTGGTTACTATATGAAGAAAAAATAACACAAAAAAAACATATGTATTTGTTTTATCTCAGTAAATCTATTTTTTTAATTTTTAATTTTGCTTAGTTCAGAGATAGATAGAGACTATTAAGTATTAAGTACTATTTAATGTTCCAAGCCAGTGCTAATATGTTAATGTCTAAACTATAATTATGTTATTGTTTGAAATGTATGTAACCTAAGGGAGAGGGCTTGTATAGGCATAGCCTGTTGCCCGATTCCCATTGAAATATATCCTTTTTAGAAATTAGAACTATGAAAAGAAAGTATCCAGAAATTCCTTTCATGTAAAGATTTCGTCATCAATATGGCGCTAACTCCTTTGGTGATGAAACATGCAATTGTTTTAATCAGGTCAAAAGAACAGGAGGAAAATGATAATGGTTCATTTTAACATTTTGATTCAGGAGAAATACAAATATACTCACTTGCACAAACAATTTTGCAAGAATTCCATGTCTTGCGCCACCATGTGCATCAGTTTGTTGAAATGTGGTTGTATGGCCTTCACCTTGGCTAGAGCATCTCGGGGAACCAGCGACGGAAAAAGAGTAAACGGAGCATAGTGGGCTCTCTCTGAATGGCCTGGTGATTCTGCTGTTCGTATAAGTACACCTGTAATAGAAGACATCTCATTTTAATTATTTACTGATTATTCATGACAGACATTATTTATGATAGACAAGGATATTCCATATCTTTGTATTTTACAGGACACAATCAACATCATTTTGAAATTGATATTGCTGGATTACTTAAACAAGACATTTGGGTCAACGTAACTTATTCAAAAGAACTATGCATGTATATTGTTCAAAGTTATGTTTTCCAACTTTGCTAAAGGTTTCAAGTTCTACTCAAGATATGTAAAGCGTAACTGGTATTAACCGGATCTAAAAACAGAGTTTAAACCAATCTATATGATGTTTATTTGTGGATTTATTATTACCAGTCAACTTCAAACTCTTTCAAAAAGAGACCCACGGAACCTGTATAGCTCATTTCGTTTTCATGTAATTTGCTATCTAAAACAGTGTAATCTCTAGTTTGACTATTACGACTAGTTTCTTCTTACCAAATATGGTTAAAATATAATTATAACATTATTGAGGAGAAGTTTTTTTAAGGATTTACCGGCAATTGAACACACCGTTGGTTGATACAACATGTATGATCTATTTTTCATGGATGTTCTATATTGAAACAATGTTAACATGTGGCAATGATAAACAGGGAACGCTGCAAGCAGTTTCATTATTTTTTTCAATCAAACAAATTTGGTTCCATTGACAATAAAGTTTTGGGAAATGTTGATAAACACCACTTGCTTAATTGTATTTATCAATGGAACGGGGTCACTGGGGTTACGTAGGTGCTGGAGTACATGTGCATGTAGGGGTAAGGCGTGGAGTCTGACATACACGGTGAATTACGTAATGCACGTGAATTACCTGGGGTGGGGGGGGGGGGGGGGGGGGAGAGGTCATAGGTGTTAGTGCCTTTCGAGCTGTTGCAGCCAGACAGTGCCCTTGTGGTATTTATCCATCCCCCCTCCCCCCAGCCAATTTGGTAGTGAGCAGTATAGAGTTAATTTGTTTTGATGTTGCTTGTTACTTGTCATCGAGCTCTTAACTAAGATTGAGAGCCTCTCTTAGCCATTTGGTGTATGCTTTCAGGTTTATAGGCGTTGGCATTTGGCATATTACAGACATTCTAGGACAGATCCTTTGGTACTTGGAGCTAGAGGAACAGCCGCTCAGGACCGGTCGCTCAGGAACAGCCGCGCGCAGTCGCTTGATTTTGCCTTGTTTTTGTAGCTTTACCACAATAAAAGCGCTAGCTTAGCTTCAGTCGGCTATTTCCTATATTACAGTGTTGAGTTGTAATTGATAAATGATTTATGTTCGTTTGAACTGGTAAATTAGAACATAACCGCAGTTACTGTTTTAACCTTAGTGTGATTTAGTGCAATTGATTTAAGGTTCCAATACTACAAAACAAAATCAACAACAGCGTTCAAAGTGTAAAAGTACAACAGTCCTAGACCAGGGCTCGAACCCTCTTAGTCATTTTCTCGGTGTGAGGTCATGATATTACTTATTTTGACCTAAAGTTACATGACGGATTTGTGCGATTAAGCAGAAAAAGGTTACCCTTCCAGACCACCTGGTCTTATTCTCCTTATACTTGTTAAATTTGATTACATTTTGGCCTGGTTATAGCAATTATGAGATCGAATAATGATTTTACATAGTCGGAGCGCAAAGGATAGCGTGACAGCCTTTCACCAAGGACGGGGTTTGACTCGCGACCAGCGTGAAATAGTATGTGTCACCTGCACGGCGACGTAGGTTTTCTCCTCGTTTTCCCCTCTCCCCATCCCACCCCAAATCAAAATTGCGGGACCAAAAAAACGCAATAAAGACAAGATTATCAATGTTATTGTTCTCAATGTGAAAATTAAGTGTGGTTAGACTAGGTTTGAACCTTAGACCTCAGATTTTATTCAATTGCTCTAATCGACTGACCTTCCTGGTCAACTGCAGTGTTTTAATATCCATCATAAAAGGAGGTTACTGTGTATAGGAAAACCGCAGTGTAGATGGACATGAACCCTTACGGAGAAAATTGATTTCGTACGACGCGCCTTGACACAAGGTCATAAGATCAATTCAATCATGAAGTTGTGAAATACAAACCATGTAACATGGCATAATCCTTTGTTTTCTTGATGATTTCCTGGATCTTCCTTTCGTCTAGAGAAATTGAATCTAGCACTGTAGCCATTTTGTCAGATTCACAAAGGACGTGTAAACTCATATTAACAAATTCGGTGTCTGTGAAAAGAAAATGATGCATGTAAATCAAAATACAAGACATATTAGACAAGACCAATTAATAATTCTTTTTTTCTGTAGCACCTGCTGATAATAATCCTTATTAGTGATTCGTTGCTAGGCCTATCCAAGAAAATATTTTTTTTTAGAAAATGTTTAAGGCACGCCTACGCCTAACATTTCAACCCAACTCAAAGCTAAGGATTCAAAACAGCACTGCACATTTCCATGCGCTATGACAGTGTGAAATAGAGCGATATCATTTTGGGATAGACCAAGTAGTGACTTATTTCTAGACCATCAAAGGCGGGATGATCTTTAAAATAAGTTGTTACCGATCTCTACGTTACGGCAATGCTCACATGTTTATACCGCACTACAGGTTATCAAACAGGTATGTTGGATGGTTTGTTAATTGTTGATTGTTAATTGTCATATGAGGACGGGTGGCCAGGGAATTTCTGCCTGAAATCAAAAGTAGATGGATCAGAAAAAGACAGGAAACGAGAAATATTCCAGATTTTGCAATAGGGGCAGCAGGTCAATATTTTGAATTGATTTTTATCCATTCATCATTCCTTCCATTCATATTTAAATTTTCTGTGATATATTTGACATTCCTATACAAAGAAAGGGCAATTGAAGAAAGCGCAAAGTTAAGAAACGCCATGGATGTGCCGGATCAATTTGTTTTTTTTTTGCAATGAAACATCCTAATATTGTTATATATTAAGTTATTGATTTTGTTTGTTTGTTTGCTTTGTTTTGGGTTAAATGTCCTTGCTATATGAGGGCGGATGCCTAGGGAAACACAGGACAGGAAAGATAGGAAATGAAAACGACCCTCAGTGTTGCTATGGTGAAAGCAGATCAAGTTGGCTAGCAGAGTACAGTAAAAATGGCTTGATCCTAAAAATAAAGGGCATGTCTCGGATAAACATGGATAGCGGATTTATCCTGCACAACACACCTACAAATATATATATGTTTACGAACAACATTTGAATACATTTTTCAGATGAATGAATTTCCTTTAAAAAGTGATTTCCCCAGATTTGGGAATTGTGAAAACAACATCAAAAAATGCAAAAATAAATTGACCCACCTTAAAACCTGTCTTCAATTTAATATCACCTTCTCGGTAACAGAGATACTCACGTTTTAGCATAGGTCTTTCAACTTGATTTTTCACAATATTTACACATGTACTGAGTACAAAAATAGACTACATGAAAAGCTAGCTTTTGTTGTGTAGACGCAGATTTGTAAATGGCAAAAAATGTAGTCTCAAACCAAATACATAGCTACCTTAGGCACCTTCTTCATGGAAGAAAGGTTTCACAATATCTTCAAAACAATTATTTAATATTGAGTTCTAATGTCAAATAGAAATAGAACGTTCCATATTGAAAGATACCACAGATTTCTGATTACAATATAAATTTTGCGAATGAAATGTTCCTCGCCAATCGGCTAAAAGAACATCACTATTCCGTACATTCTGCAGCACGGGGTCACAAGCGTTGTCGTGAATCTGATGCGTATTGTCTGTGCTATCGTATAAATATGTATATATTTTTTTGCTGTAGATCCCTAATTAAACACCACCAAGCGAACTTGCATTCATACATATAGGGACATGAACGCAACAACATCAGTGTAATTTTGACACGTTTTCTTATTACCATGAATAAATATTATCAACTCATCCATCCATGAGCAATGTCTATACAAAATGTGACCTATCAAGTCAACCGTGCTATCATATAAATATATTTATATTACATGTACTGCTTTATTTCCCTATATACATTCACTACCAAAATAACTCAACGGGCTATACATTGTAAACACACTAGCCGAATTGCTTGCATTCTGTCCGTCAGTCTAAACTGTAGTAAATAAGAAAAAGTGTTATATCAAGATGACTTTTATTAAGCAAGCATTGACGATCCCAATCAAGTTACCAAGTATAAAATAGGGATAAAATAAATCAGGGTAATTAATGGCGGATAAACGTACAGGAACGTCATGTAAGTGCCTGCTACAAGGTAAATTAATCTGTTGCGCAAACATCAACAGATTGGTTGAACATTGTTGAAAAATATATGGATAACTAAATAACAATGCATTATATTGAGTTTTATGATAGTGTTAGTAAATGTTTTAATTTGTAATAAAAAACATATAAAAATATTCATGTGCGAAAGATTGAAATGAAATATCATATTATTAAAAGATTTGTGTGCCAAAGATATTGAATTTATCATGATCAACGAAATATTTCGGATAATATTGACAATATGTGAAAACCCATATACCATTTAAATAAATAATAAGTTCTAGTTGTAACAGTGATCGTTACGAAAATCCCTCAATCTGCCTATGTAGTCGCAATCACGAATGAAAAAGGTTTAAAGTTCAAAGTAAGCTTGCAATCTGAGTTGGGGCAAAATTAAAAGAAACACAGAGACCGTTGGCCTCACCTCTGTCGTACATCCATAAATGTATCAATCAATTATAGGCCATGTGTCATGACTGAACGGAAAATGAAATGCGTTTGCAGAACTATATTTCCTCACAAATGCTCATTTGAAATTTCATAAGTATCCGGATAATAGTTCGTGAGAAAAACTCTGAAACCCATTTTTAGGGAAGAAAAAAATTAGAAGAAGAATCGCAGCAAATTAATCAGTACCCACTTCGTTTGGGAGAGTTAACAAGACATTAAATAAAAAAAGTATTTCATTACCACGACAGGCAGACTCCGAATCCGTTCATCACCTTCAATCTTCTTAATAAGAATCCAATTTTAGTCTGTCAGCGGTACATTAAAGTGTCCTGTGACGTAATAACTTACACTAATGTGCCGTGTTGTGGTGGTTACATCCGTAGTCAACCATAAGTATATCTGTATACACTTTTTACTGTAGAAGTTGCTACGCTTGACTGACTATAGATCTGGCTATCGAGGTGGAAACATTCGGTTAACATCGAGTATGAAATAAAAAGATGATTGTCGCATACCTGTAAAACTGTTTTGCAAACGTTCGTATTCATTAATAGCCAAGATCGATATACTGTACGTACACAATCGTGTACCGTTTGATTTCCTTTGCAAATAAAACCGGTAATATCCATATTATACAACATATTTTCACGTACTTACACCAAACGTTTTATAGTCAAAATGGACACCCTATCCATATTCGTTATTCTAACAGGGACCATTGACTCTTTAGATGTCCAGATATTGAGGAGAAATATATATTTATATAGGTCTCATAAGTAATAACGACAGTCTGGTCCAAAATAAGCACTGCGTCCTATAGTGTAACACTCATTATTTGCTGGATATCAATTTTTATCAATAGTTAGTGATCAATGAGTTGAATATATTTGTATGCAAAGAAATAATAGTGACTATGCAGAAAAAGGAGTTTGTAAATTTTGCGAGGGAATCTGTCTTTTCCTCAAGACACATATATGAACAACAACTTATCAAACTTAAAACTCAGTCACTAAAATGGTTTAAATCCATGTGTATATGTTGCGATATGAAATTGTTCGTGTTTATCGTCGCCAGAGAACGAGCAATCCCCAGGAGATATAAAATGTGACTAATAACGGTTTTTTAACAACCTAATCGTGCAGTTGTCACTGGCGTATAAAATTGTTTTTCGTTACGATAGCTTGCAGTTTGAAAATAACTCGAAATCAATCTACCTTAACGTAGTTAGTCTGCCAGGTTGCCTTTACATACTTCCCAGACACCAAGTGAATATGTGTTTTTTATTTGAAATTTATTTCGGTTTAAATGAAATACGTGCTACGAATTATAACCGTTATCTCATATAGCCATACAAAAACCTTTTTAAATCTGATTTGAACACAGACACATTTTTTAACACATCAGACTTAGGTAAATGAATTCAGATTTAGTTTTGTATTAACGATTATATTTCATACGCAATTATTTATGTATGACTTTGAATGTTAAAAAGCCATGAAGGTTTTTATCAAATCAAACCCAAACCCGGACTTTTGATTAAATATTAATGTATTCCTTTTAAAAATTAAACCCATCTTGGATATCAATACACAGGTGTAACGTAAAAGTTAATCTACACAGCGTTCCCGACAATGTCGGCCGAAATGAATAAAACTGAAACGCAGTCAGACTAAGGCAAAATACAAACATTCAAGTCGCAAGATTCAACAATACAATATATCAATAATAGGACAGTGAACACAATAAAACTTCACATCTTATTTTAGTTTTAAGGCGGGTGAATAATTTGATCAACATTCAGTAAAAAGATTCACTTGATGGCTTTATTCAAGAATGGTTTATGGTGATCAACTACACTACACATAAAAATGTATTCGAAAGTATTAATATGAAATAGGCACTGCCTATAAGCGAGCGCAAATAGTTCGGTAACTTTTGTGATGTCAAAGTGTAGATCTCGGGCGCCTGCAGCGCCCCCGCTAAGGGCTTCAAGGTTACAAAACTAACGACTAAGAAAACCTGCCAGATATTTCATGTAGGCCTTTTTGTTGTTTCTAATTTACTATTATTTCAACACCTTTGTAAATATATCGCCTGATACGTTTAGGCATCAAAATTTCTCAAGACAAAATGACAGAAATAGGATCTACTGTGCAAAGAAAATATTTGTTAAAAGAGCAAAGTATTGCAATGCAATTCATAGTCACTCACCGGTAAGAATTGATATATATAACAAACAGTACACATATGTCAGGAAGCATAGGTCACAGTGAGGTTTAAATGATCTACTTCACTCCGCCATCCCAGGATATCCTTGTTCATCAAATCGGGTTACTCATGGTGCAATGGAAGATATGCCCCGGTTCAATGTTAAGGTCAAAGGTCAAGTCATTGATCACAATGACCTAATTCTGTACACTCTGCAATCCCAAGATTTCCTTGTACACCAAATCTAGTTACTCCAGGTAAAAAAGTATATAAGATATACCCCGGACAAACATTTTCAAAAGTAAAGGTCAAAGGTCAAGTCATACGTCACAGTAACCTAAACCTTGCACATCAACTCTGGTTACTGCATGTGAAATAGTATAGAAGATATGTTCCAGGAAAACTTTTTCAAATGTACAGGTCAAAGGTCAAAGTATAGGTCACAGTGATGTCATATAACTGTAGTGACCTTTATCTTCCATTCTGCACGCCGCCATTCAAAGCTGTCGTTGTTCACCAAATCTGGTTACTCCCGGTGATACAGTATAGAAAATATGTCCCTGACAAACTTTTCTGACGGACGGACAGACGGGGTACAAACCTAGCCCTCCCCCCCGATTTTTTTCAGTTCATGGACGTTTGCCGAAATTGCCTTGCCCCATGCCTCGAACTAGTAAAAAAGGTCGATGTTTACTATGAAACTTAAGTTGGGCTTGTATTTGTTTTTCAAAATCAGCCTGTAAACTATAGTTCACTTATTAATATCTTGTTTATATATCTTAGCCTTGTATGACCCCTGGAAGGGGCTAGCATGAGTGCATTTCGCGGTGGTGACAGACCAGGCTGGGGAAAACTTTGGTGGTTGTCTATAATAAGAATAATAATTTGAGGTTCCTATATACCGCTTTATTACAACCAAGTTCGTAGGTCATCTCAAAGCGAATCACAAATTATTATCCGTGGTTAGAGGACCTTTGCAACCAGCCAATATCGTTCTCAACTCCCTGGGGAGCATACATCCGGTGCTGCCATTCCGACACTCACAGCTAGCATTCTACAATTCTAGCACTGCCAAACCACGTACTCATTTATATCTGAGTGGACTGGAACAAGCGGAGCAAAGTATCTTGCTCAAAGATACAACACAGTGCCGTGCCGTGACTCGAACCCGCAACCCTTCCGTCACGAGCCCAGTGTCCTTCCACTAGACTACCGTGCCTTCGGATTGCCAGTAGGTGTTTTTCATTATAGGACACTTACTTCAACCATTTCAATGTTATAAGGTCACCATGCTGGGTTGACAGGACCCTTGGAGCAATCACAGTAAGTATTTAACCAGGAATCTCAGAGGTCTATAGTAAGTTTTTGTGACAAGGTATCTCAGTGAGCTCATAAGGTGCCCGCATCAGCGATTCGAGCACCAGTGGCAAATTCCACTGCGGAGCCAACTGCCAGACCCTAGGCCTGTCAAACCCGAACTCCCTTATCAAGGCAGATAGAGAGGAGGACGAGCGTACCTCCGGCCGACCATGAATAGAGAGAACAATAGCAATGGCCGTGCGATAACCAGCGATAGTGCCAGGGGCAAGATTGCGGTCTCTTAACAGCCAAAGAAGGACGTCCGCGATCACCTGGACAGTAGCCTTGATCGGATCAACCTTCATGCCGACACACCAAACACAATAAATCTTCCATCGTGACTGGTAGACGGCAGATGAAGAAGACCTAATTAATCGAGCGATGCGATCTGACACGTCCCTAGAAAAGCCCGCCTGAGCGAGGCCTCCTGAGAACTTCCACGCGTGAAGGTGGAGGATCTCCGGGCGAGAGTGCATCGTCCTGAACCGAGGCCGGCGAAGGAGATTCGCTCTGAGAGGAAGAGCCAGGGGCTGTTCCACCAGAAGCGAAAAAAAGCAAGGGTGCCGCGGCCACATGACCGCTATCAGGAGGAGGGAACACTGATGCTGCAGCACCCTGACCACCAGTTTGAAGGGCGGGAATGCATATGCATGCATTCCGTCCCAATTTAGAGACAGAGCGCCACGGCCCTAACCCTTGGATCTGGAACCGGAGAAACAAACGTTGGCAACTGATTGTTCAGTGAAGTGGTGAACAGGTCTATGTGAGGCCTGTCCCACACCTGACAAATTCCCTCTGAAATCGAGGGATTCAGTTGCCACTCTGTCAAAACCGGCTGGCGGCGCCTGGAAAGAGTATCCGGCAGAACATCCAACCTGCCTGGAAGATACTTGACACAAATTGTCAACTGCATTTCCTTACAAAGAAGAAGAATGCGGTAAGCGAAGGCAGACAGGATGTGAGACCTGGTTCCCCCCTGTCTTTCCAGATACGCGACAAGTGTAGTGTTGTCCGTAGCTACACAAACCACCTTGGAATGCAGGATCTCAATTTCAACATATTTTATTGACATAGAAGAATGTTACACTGTCAAAAGGATTGGACAACAGGCTTATAGCCTATATAAGTCCTCTCCATTGATGGTAGGTATATGGACATAATGGATTGAATTTATAATAATAAGATTTTGCTTACTGTCAAAAATTAACATTTGTAAATCTAATTAGATATTTACATAATTAAGAGGTTATTATATAAAATATGGTGTGGGTGGGGGAAGGGGGATAACTCCCATAGAATAGTGTATTAATT